GTACCTCAAGAAAGTACGGGAGCTAGTTTCTAATGACGAAATTGGGGGGGGGGGTGCTAGTGGATCGCCGGAGCTGTTAGATTAACATTAACATGCTTATTGTAGTTGTAAGTGCACTGCCTTGCGGCCTGTATTACCGTCCTTGATGGAGCATATGTGTGGGCTGGACCTGTATTTTACAGGAAAGGAGTGAGCAGAGAGTAGAGTAGTTGTCGATTCTTGTTCTGTTTTCTGTGAATATCTGCCTCACCCTCTCAGACTTTGAGTTGCGCGCGCTACTAAAGAGACGTGTTACCATGGAAACCAAACAATGGTGTAGCTGTATTGAAGTCCGAGTGGAAACAGTCGTGTGTAAATCTGATTTTGTCAGAAATCGGGAGAAATGTGGGAGAAATATGACCCCGGGAGGAAACCGGGAGAGGGCAATGAAATCGGGAGTCTCCCGTGAAAATCGGGAGGGTTGACAAGTATGGTTGTACCTACACTTCCTACAGCGTAACCTGAGACCAGGGGGGTTATGGCTAGAAAGGATCCGTCTAGTGTAAATATGACGTCACGTTCTCGTTGTAACTCTCGTTGTAATCGGAGCGGCTCGGAAACACATCTACAGCAGTAACATGATGCAACATACACATTAATGCAGCAGCAATATTAATAGAGAAACATCAGACTTATTGCACCAGGAGCTATCTTGGGACTTTTACTGCGACAACGTTGACTTGCCTGTGAATAAAAAATAAACCATAGTGTTGGTGATCTACAGTGTTGTCATTCTTCTTTGAACAGCAAAACCGCTAACACCCTATTTCAACAATCACACTCCCTGTCATTGACATAATTAATAGATAGTTTAGCTTCTCGGCTCGCCATCATTTGCTGTGGCCAACTGATGTTAACGATCGTAACTGAAAGGCTGCCTGCCAAACGTAAACATTCAGCCAAACTCTCGCAAGAGTTTTACACAAGACGGATCCTTTCTAGCTATAACCCTGTTCATGTGAGGCTAATGCAGGATTTGCTAGCTTGATGCTACCGGCATTTAGCGGCAGTGACTCGACAAATTGCCACTTAAAATGTATCGTCAGCAATGTATGACAAGCAGACTGCTTGTTTAATGTTAGACTCACACCAATAGCTCAATATGATCATAACACGATTGCTTTCATATCAGAGATCAGATGAGGTGGAGCTGCCTCCAGCAATAGTGTAACACTGTACTTTATTACTTTTTAATGTACAAATACTTTGTTACTGTACGATATCAATATCAATAATCCACAGCTCCTCTCTCTGCTCCTCCCCCGCAGCATCCTGCCAAGGCAGTAAACCTATGGAAACACTACAGTAGGTGCAGTTCTAAAAGGAACATCCCGTCCTGGCAGAAGCAGCCTGAGGCGTTTGCTATGGGTTAAATACAAAAACTGGGGCGTCTTTTATCATACTTGCTCTTTCACCAAGACCCAACACTTTCTCTTTCCAGCTGGTGAGGTAAGATTTTTTGTAGTTAACATGCCAGGTAACAAGTCGATTTACACTTTCTCAAATGGTTTAGCAACTGATATTATAGTTGTAGTCCCAGTTCTAACTGTTCCTCCTTAGAGACACTACAATGGTATTAGGGGCCTGCACTATACATCTCAGTATAATGGGTTATTTTTGTATGATTGTTATTTAAGTCTTATTTTAGTCCTTTCTATTTAGTCATGCGTTGGTTTTAAGTGTTCTTTTTTCACAAAGCTATGTGGCAGCGTAAATGTATAGTCTTTCATTCTTTTCTTTTTTATATGATATGCCATTAACGTGGCAGCTACAACAAACAGCAAAACACAGAACAAAAAATGTCATGTAATACCAAACGCTACTGGTGTGATGATGGTAGGGTGTGTGCACCCACACATACATCGTAAGACAGGTATCAACATGCATATTGACTTTTAGGGTCCAAATGTCCTGGCATGCCGGTCTTTGCAAACTCAGATAATGCTAATCTTTTAGTTGGTTTAGGACACAAACTAATATGATAGGAATGTCTTAAATGTTACAGAGGACAACAAATAGTTTGATTTTTTTCCTTTGGAAAAGTCTGTGCATTAAGTGCAGTTTGACATATTTTGCCTAGCAAAATAAAAGATCAGTATGGGGGTCTTATGAGGATAGATGAAGGCGTCTCACAGTGTTTTTCATGTTTTTTGTTTCAAACTTGAAGTCCAAATGCCAAGGAAAGCCTTTGGATCAAATTGAACATTTTCATGCTAATTATTTGTCGTATTTATCTAAATCTTACGTTGGTTATAATGACCTGGTTTAATCTGCTGTTTGTATGCCCCACGCCCATGGCACGGTGGACAAAGGAAATGAAACAGCTATGGATGATGGGCGATGTGTCAACTCTTTCTATTATATTTCACATCAACATCCAAAGCCAACTTTTTTCAAAGAACCCTTTCTCATTTTAAAATGCTCCCTTTTCTGAACAGAGTTCAAACGCTACAGAATGCCTCATCCAGGTGTGTGTGTGAACATCATCAATGCCCGTCACCTGAAAGATGGTAACGGGACCATCACTAACCCTCAGAAGTTTCTGGACCAAGACTTTGAGCAGCTGAAACAGTACTGTATTATTAAACGGGTACGGTACATCGACGACATGTTCCCCCCTGACGTGAGGTCCATCGGGACTGGGTTACTGAAGGCTGATGACCTGAAGCGAGTGGTGTGGCTGAGACCACATGTGAGTGTTTCAGCTTTCAATTTCAAATCACATGTTTCTCTCTCCTAAATGTTCAACTGTTCAACTGTTCATCCGTTCATACGTGTTTAATGTTGATCCTTGTTAATGTTGGGCTGGCACAAGTAACTTGTGTTAGCTCTTGTGCTAGTTGTTCTTAACGAGTAATGTCAATAAGTCCTCTCTTTCAGAAAATGGTTCCCAATCCAATGTTTGAACTTGATGGGGTCTCCAGGTTTGACTTTGGTCAAGGCATGCTTGGTATGGAAACTGCTTTATTTATAACCATAAATCCATAATCCATCAATTGTTTTTCAAGCTGTGTTAGCATTCTCAATAGGTTGTAATCTGGAAACCCTTCTGTTCACATTTAACCGTCATACCTTCTCCTTCTTATACACCTTCCTGAAAACAAATGTCCATTTCCCTCTCAGGAAACTGCTGGTTTCTTGCATCAATCGGAGCTCTGACGTTCCAGAACTTCATCCTTAGGCAGGTTGTTCCACATCAAACATTTAACGAGGACTACTGTGGAATATTCCACTTCAGGGTACATCAACAACCTTGCCATATGTATATCCTCAATGATAACCCATCTCATCTTATCATATATTGCTATTTAATTATTTATATTATCTCCTTTCACAACTACTCAGTTCTGGAGGTTTGGAAGATGGGTGGATGTTGTCATTGATGACAAACTACCAACTATCGATGGCAGACTGATCTTTGTCCGCTCCAAAGACCCAACTGAGTTCTGGCCTGCTTTGCTGGAGAAAGCTTATGCGAAGTATGGAAAAACAATGTTATGTTTCTCATTCCTGAAATGCATTTTCTCAGAAGTCGATATGTGTAATTAATTTCACGCCCACTTCTGTCAGAGTGTGTGGTTCCTACTCGGACATGAATGCTGGAACTCCTGCCGAGGCCATGGTGGACTTCACCGGTGGAGTTCACATGTGTATTGATCTGACAGAACCTCCCCCACATCTGTGGGAGTTGATGTGCAGAGCTGGCCAATCCAAGTCACTGATGGGCTGTGGTACACCTCAAGGGGTAAGAACGAATATACCATAACCAACACTGACTAGCTCCCTTTGCTTCATGTGCTCAAACTTTTTGGGTTGTCCAATAGACCAAAGCCCCAACTCACCAAAGCATCTTAAGGCTAAAATGATCATGGCCCAAGTACATGGTTAGAATGTCATAGTTAGAAAGATTATTAAAGTATCTTTCTGGCTGCTTTAACGTTTTCACTTGTCACAACAGATAACTGAAAGCATTACTATGGTGATTTATGTGTGTCGATAACTGCCTGTTTACATGTGTACATGGGGACTACCAAGTCTCAATAAATCAGGGGTTTGACACCTTTTTCGGTACCACTTTACAATAAGACTACCCTTATAAAGGATTCATAAAGGGTTTATAATTAGGTTATTAATTAGGTTGTAAACACTTTATTAATCATTAAGAACCATTCATAAACCAGTTCTAACATATTTTTCATACATCAACACAGGCTCACTATTTGGCAAGATGACTAAGCCTTATATTGGCTACTTAGCGAGAATCAACTCGGTGAACAACAGATACCAAGGAAGCTGGCTGATGATGAAGAATAAGTAAGCTAGGTAGCCAATATAAGGCTTAGTCATCTTGCCAAATAGTGAGCCCACATTTATCTTTCCTGCTAAGCCTTATATTGGCTACCTAGCTTACTTTGTCTTCTTCATCAGCCAGCATCCATGGTATTTGTTGTTCACTGAGTTGATTCCCCACCCTCCATCTTGATGTTTCTTGGCATCTCTTATGACCATTTATTTACGACTTACTAACATTTATAGTAGCCAAAAGGGAGCCTTATTGTAAAGTGTGAAACAAATCACCATTTATTAATGAGTTACTACCATTTCTAATAAGGCTTAGCAGTGCAGATAAATGTGGGCTCACTATTTGGCAAGATGACTAAGCCTTATATTGGCTACTTAGCGAGAATCAACTCAGTCAGCAACAGATACCAAGGATGCT